TTAAGACCAAAAAGAAAATCAAAAGAAGATGGTGGACTTTATCTTTAAATAGAAGTCGAGATAAGTAAGTATTTTTTCTAGTAGTCTTGAAATTATTTTTAAAAATATCAATAATAAGTGTATATATTATGTTTTAAGATATAATGCTTCCAATATGTTGGAAGATATGAATCGAGAGCCATCGGGAAAATTCCATAATTTCTGTCGGATGTCGGCAACGGATTTCGAACACCTTCTCAGTAAAATAGGACCAATTATTATGAAAGAAGATACAAACATGAGAAAAGCAATACCCGTTCAAGAGAGATTGGCAATTACACTTAGATTTTTGGCATCTGGTGATAGTTTCACTAGTTTATCTTACCTATTCAAGTGTTCAAATCAAGTGATATCAAACATTGTACACGAAGTTTGTAATGCTTTGGTCCATGAGTTAAGAAATTACGTAAAGGTAACATGAGTTTGTTTATTAATTATGTTAAATTTATACATTTAAAATTAAAGTTATACTTGTATGTTTTGCATTAGAAATTAAATAGTTATAAAAAAATGTATTTTCTGTGACAACTTTTAAATAATAATAATAATAATAATAATAATAATATAATAATAATAATACTTTATGAATAATGATCATCTTCAGTTTAGGTTTTAAGGAACATTGTCTTGAGATTCGATAAAAGCGTTTAATATTTGATAGTTGGAAGTTGAATTTTGATCTGAAGATAGTTGAGATGAATATGAATTTTCTGATGAATTAGAATTAGAAGGTTCTGGTGGAGAATCTATAAAATGTGTTGATGTTTGAGGAATATTTGGATGAAGAGAATATGGTGGCATGGTATAGTTATGAGGAACAGAGGCCACAGGCGGATTTTGGTGATACAAACCAGGTGAATATGATTGTGTTCTGTTAAGTAATCCCCTTTTCGTACGGAAAATCAAGTTATCAATATCGTGCATAAGAATTTCACGGGTTTGTTCATCAAATTTTCTGAGTTTCCTAGCTAGTAGGTCAGCATAAACAAAACAATCATCTTTAAGTGGTTTTTCCGTTACACTTTGCATTATTTTGCAAGCATTTACCATGCAATTTTCAATTGCAGTTGATGTGTTTTTTCTTTTCTTTGATACTTTGGCTGCAGGGGGTTCAAAAACGAATTCTGAATTGAGAGATGGTGAACCTGATTCGTCTATAACTTCTTCATCTAGTGTAGAATTGTCGTCAGCTAAACTCATTGTATCATCTGGATCTGGTTCCTAATTAAATCATAAAATTGTATACATTTTTATTATATGTATAATGCAAGAGCGATATAAATTATATATTATATTATATTATAGTATAAATAGTTAAATAGGACACTATGTTTTAATCTGTTAATCTATTTTTAGTTTTATTTTTTTTATTAATTTTTTTTACAGTTGCCCACGACTTCACAAGATTGGCAGAATATTTCAAATGAATTCAGTTCTAAATGGAATTTTCCTAATTGTGTGGGTGCAATAGATGGCAAACACATAATTATTCAATCACCCATGAACAGTGGTTCAGAATTTATAAATTATAAGGGAACATTTAGTGTTGTTTTGATGGCTTTAGTGGATGCCGATTATTGCTTCACTTTTGCTGACGTGGGATGTCAGGGGAGGATAAGCGACGGCGGAGTTTTTCGTAACACTACATTTTTTAAAAAAATGGAAAATCATCAACTGGAACTTCCCTCCGATCACCCACTACCTGGAAAGGAATTGCCAACACCATACGTATTTTTAGCTGATGATGCTTTTGCTTTAAGTCGTCATATTTTGAAACCATATAAAGGTGTTTATGATAAAGGTAGTTCGGAACGAATTTTTAATTATCGTCTTTCTCGTGCGCGCAGAATTGTGGAAAACGTATTTGGAATAATGGCTTCTGTGTTTCGTATACTGAGAAAACCAATGTTGCTACAGCTAGAAAAAGTTTCGGTAATAGTAATGACTTGTGTATTACTTCACAATTTTTTACGAAAAAGTAAAACGTCATCATCAAAATATGCTTCTCGAGAGTCATTCGATAATGAAGATGAGGGTAGACTAATACACGGGTCATGGCGTCAGGACAATAACATGACATCTATGTTACCTATCAGAAAAATACCAAGACGTTCATCAATTGAGGCCCAAGATATTAGAAAGACATTTATGGAGTATTTTATGACTAATGGAAAAGTTCCATGGCAAGAAAATTACTGTTAATTTATTATTTTAAAATATATTTATTTGAATATTATAAAAATTAAATAAATTAAAACAGCTTACATACCTCTGTATTTATTGTTGTTTTTGGTTGATAAACTCCATGTAAAAATTTTGCCATTGGTTCATAAAAGATCCAATTCGGTTTGTGTATATCATCTCTTCCGGACCCAGTTTTAGTGCTGTTTTTCACCTTTTGAGCTAATGGCCGAAAAGTCGCCATAAGCGAATCCTTCTTCTTTTTTAAATCCACAATTGCAATGTCTTTGCTGAAGTTGTCTTTAATCCTTTTCCAGGCATCACTAACAAGATTTCTATTTTTATGCAATGGGTCCTTTGGATTCCAAATTAATGACTCCTTTTCAAACAACGACAAAAATTCCAATGTGTTTTCATTGGACCACTCCATTTCGATGAAACTTTAGTAATACAATTCACAAGTAGGTATGTACATTTAAATAGTTAGAACAATTTTTTTTAAAAATTAAATAATAATAAAAGATTGTTTAAATATTGACGCCGATTGCCAAGTGCACGATTCGTGTGGGAATGACGTGCGACTACTAGTATAAAATAATGATATTAACAATAAATAATAGTCTATTTTGGGGGAAAATCCAAGATTAAATTTCTTATCAGCACGAGTCACTCGTGTTGTATCCGACACCGACGGGAAACCGCGAGTGACTCGGCGAGTAAAAATAATCGTCGTGCTTTACGATTAAATACCTCACACACGACTCGCAAAGTAGTACGATTGACGAATATTCGCCGATTACACGAGTCGTGTGGGACCGGCTTACGGCCACGCCCCTTCGCCTTCGCCGGCTACAGCCGGTCCCACACCATAACTGAACCACGCATAACTGATTTTCGTTTCCGTTATCAGTTTCTTGCTGTATTTCCGGCTTTCTTCGTCCCGTTTGGTCTCCGGTTTCCTTTGGTCCAGTTTTTAATTGATGTATCACCGGTTTCCACTTTTGTTCAATTTCCAAACGTTTTCTCGGTTGAAGTTTGTTGTGCATTTTTTGATTTCTATGGCTTCCCTCACCATGCGTTTCGAGTAATGGGATTCTCGGGACAGAACGTGTTCCGAATCGTCGGCGAACTAGTCAAGACATCCAAGTAGGAGTAACCTCAAGTCATGTAAATAGTGAAAATTAAATTTCTTATTAACCCTATGTATTATGAGATATTGAGTGGCTTTAGATAAATGGATGACCTTGTATATTTAGAATTTTTATGTGAGTATAACATAGATGTGTGTTAAAATGAATGAAATAATATTCGATCTATAATTATAATTTTGTAATAAGTACCTATAGTAATTTTACCACTAAAAGCGCTAGTATCACATAATTTTTTCCGGATCCTTACGTTCCGCATATTTATTTTCCGGGAGAATACGGTTCTGAGAATACGGATTCTGGAATTTTACATTCCGTACAATTACTGTCTGGTCGATTTTATTTTCTGGATTTTTACGGTCCGTGAGATTACGGGTTTTTTCCCGTATTATTACGTTCCGTAAAATTATTTTCCAGGGTTTTATGGCACCCCGATTTCGACCTATTAGATTTTCGAGAGACACAACGGTTTCTATATTTTTAAATTTATTTTTCCTACTTCTTCTTCTCTCCGGGCCTTTACGGACTGTACCGTGTCCATCGGCTGATCGTTGACTGGAGTGACAGTTTGAGTATATTCTAGGAGTGCCACTTTGAGTTTTAGTGTCTCAATCTCTATTTGTTTATCGCAAATAGCCTTTGAAAAATCGTTCACGAGTATCCTATAATTAAATTCCGGGCTGCCAGTAGATGCCTCGGCCGTTTTTTTGGACGAACATCTATGGCGTAGCTCGTTAGTTTTGGCTTCCAGGGCATTGTTCTCGGTGAGACCGACTTCTTGCTTTTTTCTGGGGAGAAGGTAATCCTATACCAGCCTATAATGTTCAAAATTTAATTCAATGTTCCATCATCATCGGCACCCCTTTTAATAGCAAGTTGTCTGGAACTTATTGCCCCCTTGGAAGTACCAGATCCTGTAGTACCCATTTCCTCTTCAGCAGCCATGGCGGTGGCGGGTAAAGCACTTACACTACTATGAATAGTTATTTCAAACCAGTACAGTCCAAACCAAACACAGTATAAACCAGCAAAGTAAGAACATAGGTATTTCAGCCAGGTACAGTGTCCACAGAAATGCATGGAAGCGTTCGATTGAAAGTTGTTTTATACCCTAAGAAGCACGCCGATGGGTTACTTTCATTAGACTAAAAATAGTACCTTACTCTACCCTTCCTCTAAGGTAGACGCATGTGTGCTGTGTATCTAAGTGATACGTTCTTCTAATACAAAGTGTAGTTTTGTCTATTCCATATAACAAAATAGTAGTACTAATTAAATAAATAAATGAAAAATATAGAGAGGAAAATTAAAAATTAATTAATTTGATTGAAACAAAAAATGTATGATTGGTGATGATGAAAATTTGATAAAAAGGCTATTGTATTGATTAAAGCTATACAAAAATATTTATTTAGACTATTTAGTGTTTTCCTAATTTTTTCTTATTTTAGTCAATTTAATATCCATTAAACTATACGAGTAAGTAAACTATTTATAAGTACAAAATTAGTGGTAAAAATAAAGAATATTTTTTTCGAATACTATTTGAATTTTTGATTACTTTTTATATTAAAATTTCTACTAAAAAGCCTAATGTCCTCCAGCTCCAGAAGAAATACTACTTGAACCACGCTTACTCGTGACACGTATTTTTCCAATATAAATTAACAAATTTCAACAATATAAATTTTATAACAATATAATCTTGAGAAAAACTTGGTGACATTTTTATTATGATTTTTGAAATACATATAATTAACTGATAATTTTGATATTAGTGCAGTGTACAAAAATGTTTTAAAATAATAATCGTAGTATTATATAATTTTTTATATTTAATGATTAAACTTTAACAAGTGGTCTTAACTATGATGATATTATACTAGTTAAATTTCTCTAATTTGATAGTACTACCGTCGCGTACCAATTCATAAATTCCGTCCGGATATTGTACGTATTTGAAACCAATGTCCAGTTTAGTAGTTAGTTTACAAACACCAAGTTCCACCTTAGCCTCGACCATATATGATTGACTTTCGAAATATATCATACTTCTGAACAACCCAACTAGGCGACACGTCCAGAGTGATTCAACGTTAAGTCCACCTTCACCTTGAAATATAAAACATTTTTTTTTTTTAACAAATTGCAAACTTTGGCTTATTTAATAATATAAAAAATGTTCCCGTAAATAATTTTAACTAGTATATTTAAGGTTAAGAAGCGAAACCGTAATAACTATGTAGGAATGTTTACTTGCTATTTTTGTAATAGCTTCCATAATTAGAACTCTTCGTTCATTTGCGAGCGCTACTATATTAGCCCTTTCAGCATCTGTAAAAATTGATAAATAACAAAACTGAATAACAGAACTACACTAGCATTGAAATCGATGCATCTAAGAAAGTAACACACTTTCCTATACTTGAAACTCTAAGAATTTATAATGTTGTAGTGTACATTGACTGATCAGAAGCAAACATTTTCAGGGCGTGTGCCATTTTTTGATCACACAGCAGTTATTGTAGAAAGTTTTATTTGTTTGTGGTAGTTTTATAAATTTTATTTTATTTATAATATTTATCGAATAAATGTTCCTACTTGGTTGCACCATTCGAATAAATAAAATAAAAACGAATAAATGAGTGTTGATTACCTCTGTCTCCAACAACAGGAGTTACAATACCTGTTAGATAAAAATAAAATGATAAGTTTACAGTTGAAAAAAATTATTTTAGAAAAAAAAGATTTTTATAAAAAATTTTATTCTGCTATTAGACTATATTAGTAATACATTATTTTTTTTTAAATCTCTAGATTATCATGACAAAATAATAATATTAAAACATTCCGTTTGTTTATCGAGAAAAAACCCATAAAAAAATAATCAAATAATTAATTTTTATGACTGACAATATAAGCTTTATTGGCTAATTAAGCTGTTTATCGAATAAATAATAGTTTACCTTTTACTTCACGTTGTGAATGTGGATGGGGTTCTAGAAAAAAAATTATTTTTTTATTTTCTCCGCTCCACGGAAAAACATTGTATTATGGATATGTTATCTCTTATCTGACATCACTTATCTCTAATATCTTATCATTTATCACTTAACACTTATCTATTTTCATAGTAGAGTGAACGTGTAACTCGACAATGGTGACATAAAATATCTTGTACCCAACCTAATTACATATCCATGTTAAAAGGAAATAATTATACAGTTAGTAAAAATAGGTTTGGAAGAGATGATTTTTTTTTTACAAAGAAGTGTTTTTATATTTTGCGTCAGAGCCAACAATAGCAACCAAAACGCTAACCAATTTCTTCAAATAGCAATATATATTAATAAAAGTCCAGAGAACAAAATCTTTTTAACACAAATAACAAATTTCATCAACGTTATGCCGTTACAGTGCATTTATTGATATTTAATAATTCTACTATCTACTGGTTCACTTCGAAGTCATTATTTATTATTTTTGCCCACTATGCCCAGAACCCACTGTGCTGGTTTTTTATATTTGATCAAAAACAGTCACACTAAAATTCAAAAATACTTAGACCAATTTGTTTAATGTAAAATATATACTGTAAAACACCTATTAAAAAAACTTATAGCTTGACGACTTTAAACTCGATTTAAATTTCTATTATATGTATACAGGGTGATTCATTTTGCGCAAGACACTAATTTTCTCGGAAACTATGAACATTAAAAAAAAAAAATTTCCTATACTTAAAGGTAAACATTGTGCTACATTTTACAATACTGCGAAAATCTGTATCTCCAACCCTTATACAAAAGAAAGGGTAGGACATCCCTTTTTCAAATGGTAACAGATGTTTTAAACTCCATAAGTATATAGACAAAAGTTAAAAAAAAAAATGTTAGTGTTTGAATTTTTAATTTTTATCCAATTGTTCGCTTGTTATGACTTTGTAAAGATTTGTATTTTTAACTATATTTCTTAATACTTTCATTCGGTTCAACAAAAACAAGTAGTTTTATTACACCAGTCATTACATAAAATAATAATTTAGTATATAAGATCAACCATTATTGGTCACCCTTTATAGGTCTAATAATTATTAATTCGGAATAGGAATGATAAGTTGTATATTTACGTATGCAATCGCTCATTAACTGTTTTAATATTTTTCCAAGATCTTCCTCACGAGACGTGCTTACTAAAATCCAATACAAAATTAATTGTAATGTAGACATTTTCTTATGATCGAGATCAATATTGTGTAAATGTATATATACATATAGAGCTGAATAGATACACATGAATATACTTACTCGTTAACTTACGAACGTTTGCACTTGTCACTGCAAAGTCTGAAATTAAAATGAACGTATTTTAATAAGGAATTATCAAAATAGGTATATTATGTGAAAATGTAATGTCTATAAAATGTAGGTATTATAATTTACCTGGTACAGCCAACATAAGAGAAACATCCGCTGAAATTTAAGTGAATTACATTTAATAGGGAATTTATGTTCACGGGTTTAATTTTCCATTCTATTATACAATAGAAGGCGGACATCAAGGTCGAAAAAACATGGTACCTATTGCTATATCAAAATAAATGTGCATTAAACAAAAAATATGCACATTTATTATTAGGTCTATTATTTTAAACAGAGTGGAGACTTAGGCTAACACATTGAATGTGAATTGATGCAAATGTACAGAGTAAAAAAAAATATAATTGTTCGATGACGAAAAAAGTGTTGCCAGTCAAAAGGTTTCAGACTAAAAGATTAAAATATTTTAAAATATAATTTAAGATCACTTTTATACTACTTATAAATATAATAAATCAGTTTTGTTGTAACTGTTATAACTTATACAGTTTAAAAAAATAGTCTACCAGCAACCTTAATCATTATTTGTTTTATTATACAATTATGATTACCCATCGGTTCTGATCCACTTAAAATATTTTTGACTGCAGTATGTAATTTTTCTAGAATAAGCAAATATAAGTTTTAACTATATGACAAAATTCATAATAATATAGTACAACATTTTTCAGGGTGTGTCAATGTAACCTAACACTTCTTTCGATATGCTTTTTCTAAGTAAATTTTAAAAACTTAGTATTGAGTATGAATATAAATAATTTTTAATTTTGTAAGCTGTTAATAATTTATACAATGTATAACTATAACTAAGCTCATTCATTGACAATCTGAACGGAATGTAGAAACTATAATTTTTTATTAGTTGGTGAACAGCCGAGACATAACAAGTTACATATCGGTATATTGACTTTAAATATATCTTACCTGCCCGAAGAGTCTGACGGATATAATCATCTGTAATAATTATTTAAGAACATTTTTATAATGACAATACAATTAAAAAACATAAAAATGTAATATGTTACAAGTAAAAAATGCAACTTACTATTTATGATAACCTGCTTCATAAATTTAACTGTAAAAATAAAACGTTAAATATTAAATACATTTTTTTACTTTTAACTACCCCGAGTACGAGGCACGTGATGAAAGAGCATACTTTTTTCAGAATTCACAAACACGATAACAAACGAAAATAGTATTGTTATAAAGTAGAGTTTCATTTTTATCTGAAAAAATATAAAAGCCTTATTAATACAGTTGTCAATATTAAAATGAAATAGGTACTGCACAATATCACTTATTGGAAAATATTAAAATTACATCCAAACTTGTGTGGGATCATTTTTTGATAAACCTTTAACCTTAAATTATAAGAATCTATTAAATTATAATGAACTACTTTTTGTATGATTTTATGAAATTATTTCTGAAATAAATACTTGTAAGTCTATGAAGTTGGCCTAGCGATTAAATATTACCACTAGTCTGTACACAAATGATTTCAAAGGCGTAATGATGTTGGTAATATTAATGCTTGATGTCAGTAGTTTTATTTTCTTAAATGACAAAAATGTTTAACTAAATTGCATTAAAGTGGTTTTAATATCAGTAAAATCTAAATGTATTATGCAGAAAGGTCTATGTACATTTTTTTCACTTCAAGCGGCGTTATTTTTTTTATTGTTTACTTTATTGTGGCGTTTTCAAAAACGTCGGATTTTAAACTTCTGTTGTCGTGCAAAGAGTACCTAACCACAAAATATAATTGCAAAATTTATCAAAACAAATATTGTAAGAAATGAAACGCAACGAACTAAACCTCGACGTTATACAATCTGGTTTAAAGTAATATCAAAAATATAGTAAAATGTACTATGGTGTTCATAGATTTTATATGCGCGAGTACAATATTATAATAGCAACAATATGGTGTGTAAACAACACATAGTTGGTGATTTTTTTTGCGTCTTATTTACCTTTAATAGTATTTAAAATTATGTGTTAAAACGTACTAAATCGGTAAAAATATGGTAGATTGTCAATAATTATGTAGGTCACTACTAATTTATAGTTACACATAGTACTTTATGTTATTATTCGGGTATTTTTTTTAACTTATTTACCTTTAATAGTATTTAAAATTATGTGTTAAAACGTACTAAATCGGTAAAAATATGGTAGATTGTCAATAATTATGTAGGTAACTACTAATTTATAGTTACACATAGTACTTTATGTTATTATTCGGGTATTTTTTTTAACTTATTATTATTTATTAATAAATAACTTTGTGGTCTGTAATAAGAAGTTTTGAAGTACAGATTTAATAATTATATTAAATATTATGTAATGATATAAAAATAATAAAACCAGTGTAATAGTACATTAGAGTATAGGCATAATGGAATCAAAGCAACGGGGGGACGGAGAGGTCACAGATCTACAGGAATTATTCTTAATAAAAGTGATAAAATTAAATAAAATCACTTTGATACAATGGATTTTTGCAAATATTATAATATTTATAAAAGTATTTTTTTGTTTTACCGTTGGTGTTAACACCTTTTGTCGTCTAAACTTGGCTTAACCAAATATACCTAAAACACATGTGATATGCTACGGTAGTTTGACTATTGCATCTCGATGAAACCAACAAAAAAAACAGCCGATAAATATATAAAAAAATGGAATAATGTTTTGGACAAATTAGTTTTCAAGAATAATATACCATACCCTGATCTTTTATTTATTGAATAAAAATAAAAATTAGAGCTAGTAAACGTTGAAACCTAATTTCAAATCGATCCGACTCAGTACCAAGTAGATACATTTTGTGATTTGTAGAGTTGCCATTCAAAAGAATTGGTCCAGTAGTGTTGTTTATGGAATTCTCGCTTAAGCGTTTACACGAAAACACAACTTTTTTAGCACTATTTTCATACCTGTTTGATATACAAGCAATTTTAAATGAGAAAAAAAACGTTACAAACATTACTACTACAAAACAGATGGTATTATAACAAAAACGAGTAAACGTTTTCAAAATTTTACCCAAAAACGTATAGCTGTAATTACAATTCTATGACCAAAGTGTGAGTCTGAGTTTACTGTTTTTCTTATATTTTTCGATAAATATTATTTTGACACCATACGACTGACAATATTCTTTATCATCAACACGATGACTATGATTGGACCCCTCTTACTTAAGATGGATGTGTGATTTAATAAAATATGTAACCGAAATTTGTATCATTCGTTGTCCTACCTTGATTTACAAAAAAAAAAAAACTTTAAATCGAATTACTGAATTAAAAAACAAAAAACTAAACGTCCTATTCATAAATACACTACACTGATGTTTTATGTTGTTTGTTTGACCTATCTTCAGACTAATTATCAATTCTTAAATCTTAAAAATATGTCAACCTTTCTCGCAGGGGGTGTTCAAAATTTCGGTTTTTCAATGTGCGATTTTGTTGAAAGCACATTTTATATTGAAAATGCTAAAATTACATTTTTTTCCTGACAATAAATATTCCTACATTTTAGGCAGAAAAAAACGTTGATCTAACGACAAAAACAAGGTATAAAATTGTCAAAGTTTGAATTTCCAATTTTTTTTTTGTTTTCTTTTGCACACCTTAGTGTTATTTTTTACACGTTGAAAATCCAAAGATCATAGCAAACCGTCGAAACTTGAAAATGTAATCGAATCGGATACACTATCAACATACTATTTAAGCACATAGATATTTTATTAGTGTACGACTACTGCCTGTAATAGTCCGTAAAACAAATAGTAACCTAACCTTAATCATACCTTCATAGAGTAAATTAAGAGTACCGCGGTGTTAAAAGTTGATACAGTTTTCAAATAAAATCACAAAATCTATTTTAGTAGTGTTGAATAACATTTTGATTACAGATTTAAAAATTAATTAAATCGACTTTCCGATAAAAACACGTTGTAAGTACTTGTAAATCGTAATTGTTGAAAGTTAAAACTATTACTAAATAGTAAATAGGTACAGATTACAGTATACACTAGTCGCTAAAGTAAGCAGACATTATTGAGTTTTTCAACTTTTAAGGTTAACAACCGTTAACGACAATGCATGTATTATCATAATATTATGTACAGTGAATAAAATAGTAGAACGTTTGCTAATCAGTAATCATTGTAATATGTGAGACAAGAGAGGTACAGCTACATAACGTACAATTCACCTAATCTCCTATTTTCAGAAGTCTAGCTGTATGTCGAGTGCCGACTACCTGTACGAAATATATGATAACTAAAAAAGTGAGCCTCGTCGTCGCTGGTAACGAGAATTAATGTACTGAGGCACAATAATAAAAACCTTTATGTACTAATAACTTACCAATGCGTTAAGCTAATTAAAATTATTTTAGACCGGATATTTTATTTTTTAGTTTTGCACCATAATTTTTTATAAAAAACCTATTATCCCATTTGAAAATCAAAAGTTTCTATCGAAAAACTAATTTGAGAGGGGGTAAAACCAAAAAAACTGAAAAATTGAGATCACATTATATGAAAATACTTTGAAAAAAAAAAATTAAATAATTACTTAAGCCCGGTGAGATATTGAGTGTTTCCCGATAATTGGATCACCCCGTATCACATTAAATAGGAAAACAATTTGATATTCGAATGGATTGTAAAACAGTTATGCACGAACATTCAAATGTCTTTAAAAATATTTATTGAATATTTTTCAATTCTTCAAAAATATTTTAATAATATATTCAACGATTCATTTTTGAATCGTTGTGCTCTCTGGGTAGTTATGAGTTAAATTCTCAGAAACAAACCAACATTTTAGAACCGTGGTTGTTTGCAGAACCGTAAAGCTAAAATCAATTTGTTCAAAATTATTAAACATGTGCGACGGTGGCGGAGCACGAAACTTTATCTATGTAAAGTTTGCTATACATTGTTCAGTAGCTGTAGCGGATGATAATTTTATATGAGCCGCATACTGTAAGAATAGCTATTACTTAACCTCACAAGAACTACATTTTTTTAGAATAATATAATATAAAAAGGCCAAACACACCGCACTAGAATAGTATTTTATTAAGAAAATGTACTAGGGTCCTATGCATAAAATGTGTAAATATATTATTTATTAAGAAAAAGAATCACTAAGGACGACCGCTGCTGGTGTTTCTATCCAACTGTCCTACGAGGGCAGCCTGATCAGTATTCCGCAGGCCGAGCCCGAAATCGAGGACTAACAATCACAACTGAAAACCGACCTTAGCCTGACAGGCCGCCAACAGACGTACTACCTGATCAACTCGTCGGCGGACTCAGGCAACGATTTCTAGGCGCTAGTCCGGCGGTACCAAATTGTGCCGGCCAAACACCTCGGCCACTTCGTCCAGGCGCGAGCTCTTGTTCCGCGCAAACGGTACAAGCACGAGTCCAACAACACCAGGCGGTTGCACGTGCTGTCGTCCACGGACGTCGTCGAGTCATATTCGCCCACGTTTTTATTGCGCAAGGGCACGCCGTTTTGGCACCGGATCGGCGTCATCATTTCGCGCCTGTCCTAGACGGGCATTTTACTGCACTGGGACCGGGACAACGACGCGACGTCCCGCGGAGTGATCGCGCCCGGCCAAGTGTTCTCCGAAACGACCGTGTTGACCACGTCGTAAGTGTACAGGCCGATTAGATAAGTGGATGATCCTATATAACTATTAGATGAGACTGACAGAGCTAGCATCATATTTTTGATGTGTAAACATCTTCACGCGCGGTACGATATTTTGGATAGGAGCAAATTTGTGCAAATACCGGAAGGAGGTAACGGAAGTAGAGCTGGTGGATGTGAATTTGACTGGTAAACGGAAGTAAACATTTCGGATATATGTCCAAAGGTACCAGGGGTATATGTTAAATGTCCACATCGGACAATGCCGCACCATACGCGTGGCTGTACAACGAACTCTTTACCGACAACATTTGATAGCTAGACTAGGCAAGACTAGGCTAAGCTAGCTTTTTTGACAACTACGAGCCACGCTGCGCCGCCCGTGGTTGATCGCTGTATATTATAAATATTCTATCCGCGCATCTTACCCTATTACCAACAATTTACAATCTGTATATTGCCCTGACGGAAACAACGCTGATATTGATGACAAATAATCAACGTGCCAGTAGAAGTAAATACAACGTTCAACCGGCTGCATCGTAAGCTGGATGACGATTATAGTATCACTTTTCACTTAAAAGTTAAGGTTTTAATTAATGATTTGCACAAAATACTTCGCTTTTAAATGGTCATTTCAATATTTTTGAAGTATATAAAAATCATATTTATGTTGTTAGTGTTTTTATTTATATTAAAATATTAATAATTTGAGGTCTATAAAAAGATAAGATATTAAGAAAAAACAAAATGGAATCATATAATTGTTAACTTAAAAGTATAAAATATATGAAATCGAGTATGGTATAGTTTTAAAAATAGTTGTCAGGAATTGAAATCTACTATAAAAATTCAAATTCGGCTTGTGGATGAAACTCGTTTGAAGTGAATTGAGATTGAAATTCCAAGGGACAGAGGCCTCTCAGTCAAAGCACAATTTGGTATAAGTTGTTATACATAAACAGACAAATATTGTCCACGTGTATTGTTCAAATAGTAACAAGCTTTCATATTGAACTAAAAAAATATGAAAGGGGCCTATATACGCCTTTAGAAAATTTTGTTTTCAATAGAAAATACACAGGTGTGGAGGCCTTTGAATGTTGTCAAGGTGGATTTTGTTCGGTTACTTTAAACACGGTTTATGTATTAACTCTGATTGCATAAAAACTCGAAGT